CATTGGCTTGAAAGCGATGAATTTCACAATTTAAACCTCCCAAATTGAAATTTCAAATCAAATAATCCAGATTGTAAGCGAAAATTCAAAGCGGACCTCCGAGAGGGATCAAATGCTCGAGTCGAGCCAGCAGCGGAACAGGTGTAAGATGCACAAGGCGCTCACTGCACCAACAGTACCTGAACAGCAAGAACTGGAACCTGAAGACACATTCCACTATAATCGAATGGACCAAATCGAGGGGGCGTACTTATGAAAAAGGAACAAGTGGTTATAGGTCTCCGCCTACCAGCTTATCGCGGAATGTGTCTTTAAGTGATGTGAACAATAAAAGAAACATAAATCTTCAAAAGAAGACATATCGCATTCAGCACTAACCAAGCTTTTGCAGAAAGTGCTACGGCAAGAGTTGGCAATTGACCGTCCAGGACACATGTTTCGACATCAAAGAAGAATACATCTTCCAGTGGCCACTCCACCTGAACCTTCGGTTATTTCATGGTCTACTTAGAAGAATTTCTGCTCTCTGAATCGGGCGAGACACACAACAGACACAGTGATAGCATTGACTACCGTACCAAGTTGGCTAGAACTTCAAGCCAACCTCGCTCACTCGTCGCGCGCGCGGATCCAGCGGCGGATGTCGAGTTGAAACCCTGGTGTCGCTATGCGTGCGTTCAATTACTGGACTAAACCCTGGGCAACCGGCAGATCCGACCCACATCTAAAAAACATTTGAAGGCGTGAACGTACTTGTTCGACGACTCCTCCATGGTCATATCTCGTCCATCCCACATCACATTTCCACTGAGATGGCTTAGGAAAAGTGGGCGGAAAAGATGCTGCCAAATCCAAGTACTCCCTGTACGTCTGCGTGAGTTCATCAGCAACAATCCTACAAAAAAAGACAGAAATAAAATTGTAATCAAACAAAGGCATGTAAAACGTTTGCTTTAAATTCATGGAATTATAAGCTTATTATTCACTTCAAATTGTTTTGGTTTGAAAATAAACAACGGTGGACAGGGAACAAAGTTGAGGCGCAGTATCGGCGAACGGGGTGTGAAGGAGGGGGGGGGGGGCATTTTGTACCGATACATTGCTTCGCCTGTTCCTTGTTTACGAAAGTCTCACCTGTGATCTCTGGTGAAGCTGTAGCAAGGTCCTCAGCCATCATGGTAAAATATATTAACTCGAGAAGAGGCTGTCTAGAGAGGGCGACACGTCGATGGGAAGTAGCAAAAGTGCAAAATGCCACCTTCCCCCCCCCAAACCCTCGTCCCTGGAACTGCGCTCAAAGTTGAATTCTGTATGATCATACTAGTCACTATAAGCCCTTGAGATCCGGAAGCCCAGATTGAAGTAACAAGCAGTTGATGCAAATTGTTAAACGAACCTAAAATGTTCTTGCAAAGAGGGCGATCTCAGTTTCGGCAGCTGTATAGGAATCTGCACATCACTGGAAGTCGAGGGTAGATCGCTCCGGAAAAGATGACGATGAAGATTCTCGGGTACTGTAGGTATTCGTTGAGGTTTCCACTGGAATGTAGAAATATCGGCTTCGTATCAGCTTTCACTCCATTAAAAAGCCGTGAAACAGGTAAAGCTGCGGCATTTTTTTATAGGAAAACGATAACGCAGTCATCTATTTCTGCAAAACTGACCTAGATTTCTTTTATTTTATTCTTATTTATCACTGTTTTCTACAGGTTAAAGGCATGTTCCGTCTTCATTTGATGTGCAGACGCCTTTCTGGCCAAGGTGGTTTTTCCTGTTCGCGAACAGGAAGAATTTCCTACTTTTGCAGCTCAAAAATACGCGAGGAAAGCACGACCTGCACCCGATGAAACCAGCGCCCCACCCACTGGCTACCGCAACGCCCACCGTTGCTGATACCAACAAGTGAGAACTTATCACCACGGCTCTTCTTTCTGTTGTGCATGCACAACTATGTTTGTGAACGGGTCTTTTTCTGCATTTTTTCTTTGCCGCATAAATGACCATTTTTTGAAGCGCTGCGTGCCTCTAACAGTGCAAGGTCAGCTGAAGGTTATCAAGTCTTTTCAGAACTTCAGAACGGGTGCACACGCCACTTTCTTTCTCGATGAGGGTGCAGATAAACAGGCATGACGTGCGCCACCAACTGGCCCCTGACTTCTTTTGTCTTCTCAAGGGTACTAGCGCATTCCCTCAAGTCAACTCGTTCGCTCGAAAAATGAGCATTTTTTCAGGTATTATACGAGTTCTGCCATTCGGAACAATTTACGCACTCTATC